AAGTCTATTCTGTGGGATGACTGGGTGCTTAAGCTGATTTTAAAGATAAGGGGGAAAATGTTCCCACTTAGCTTTCACAGCCAGTTGTGTTCTGTCATCTTTTCTAGTTCCACTTAAAAAGTTACTTTTCCATATTTCAGAGAGGAAGGGAGAAGAAGAGAGAGATAGAAACATCTATGATGAGAGAGAATCATTGATTGGCCGCCTCCTGCACGCTCCCTACTGGGGATCGAGCCCACAACCCGGGTATGTGCTCTGACCGGGAATCAAATTTTGAGCTCCTGGATCATAAGTCGAAGCTCAACCACTGAGACACACTAGCCAGGCTCCAGTACCTCACTGAGGGTGGCCATATAGAAGAGTGCTTTTGCTACAATTTGGGTGAACCTGAGTCCATGCTCATGGGCAGGAGCCAAGCAAACACTTACTATAATGTCTTTATGACAGATGGAGTTCATTTAGTTGCAATCAATATTCTCATGCTTACATTTCTGGAGCTAAAGAGAAACAGTAAATTCTAGCAAATTATCCTTGTAAACTTTGGATTCAGAGATGAAAAAGACAACTATCTTTTTTGTCCCTTTTCCTTTTCTGAGTTTCTGAATTGTTTTCTGTGAGGTCTTGGCTGGTATCTGGTGTTGGGTGAGGTCATTGGGCGAGGTGGGAAGGGAATTGAAGATATAATTGCTGATTGATAGAAAACTGGACAGAATACACAAGAATAAAAAGCTTGGTAAGTGTCTTTCACCAGAATGCCTACTGCACTCAGCCATGCTCTCTCTATGGTGGGAAGCTGACTGGTTAGCTTGAAAGCCCTGCTTCTCAGACAGAATTAGTGTTTACATCGAACTATGGTAGTAAGATAAATGGAGTAGTGTGATATTCAGGAGGAGGTGGTTGAAATATCATTATTACATTGAAAAAATCTTGGCAACAATACTCTGGACACGTCTGAGTATAACATTCTGGATGTCATCTGTGAGTGAGCTAGTGCACAGTGCCTTTCTTTGGACTTTGACTTGCAACAGGTGGGTGAGGATTCTCTTGAGTGAAGTACTACGGTCTTCTGTGACACAGCTCACCACACTTTAGAAGCAAAACCAAGAAATCCATGGCTGGGGCTAGAGGTGGTCTGTGAAAGCCATCTTTCGGTAGTACCTTTCCCTTACAGCTTAGGCTTCAGAACAGAGAAAAATCAGTGGTGCTGGAACTGCATCGGTTCATGCTGACAGCAAATAGGTCTCCAAGGGAATTCTGGCCTCCCTCTCCACAGCTTTGCAGTCTACACAGCTGGCAAATGCCTATGGGGAACCTGTGCTGATTTACTGCCTTTCAACTCACCACAGTGCTTAGAGACGGATATGTTCTGCCACAGTGCCCTCTGCAGTGTCCTTTCACAGCACAGAGAGCCAGCAACCCCTGCCCAGAGCTGATTCCTTCTTGCATGCCTCAGCTTTCCTGAAAGTCTGATAGGTGAACCTTAACACAGAGATAGGGCCAGGGTAAACCTGCTTTTTGAGACCTGTGATGGAATGTCGCCAGGTTATGCCACTAAAGCTCCCTGTCAAGGTGGGAGAGTGAGTGGGAGCTGCAGGGACCCCACATGCCAGGTTCCAGGAAGAAAGTGCCGGTCTCTCTGTTACGATGAGCCTCTGTGCATCCTGGCTGCTACTATAAATGTGTCATTCACTTTGATTTAGCTTCAAATAAAAGACAGGTAATTTTGCTTTCAAGACTATCAAATTAGGAAATTATAAACCATGTTAATGATCCAATGAAGTCAGACCTAGAAGCTTTCCCCTAAAGCATAATAGCACAGGTGACATTGTGCTGATGTTCAGGGTGAACAAGGCAAGCGGGGGTGGGGGGGGGGCTGGTTATGGGTTTTTGCTTTGCTGGAAGTCTCTTCACTGCTGTGCAGCAAAAAATCATTCTCTCATAGACTTCTCAAAGTGATTTGTGGGAAAGGTGGTATAATCTGGGAATATCAGAGCTGTGGGCTGAGGGGCACAGATGGTGTCCAAAGCCTGTGGTGCTGCCCCAATACAGTGGGGAACTGGTTGTTGAGAGCTGATGGGTGAATACAAGTGGAAATTGCTCCCCTTAGAATCTCCTGACTTAAAAGTGTTTTGAACACTTTTTATTCTACAAAGAGCTGCTTCTCTCCCACTGATTGGTTCTTTGATCTAGGTGACATTATTGGGTTTATCAAGTGCCTGCTATTTGCAGAACTATATCCATGTTCTCTGGGGAGATTTGAAGTATCCACATAAGGAAAATCCTGTTTCTCTTAAACCTTTTAGATTCCTCTCAAAGCAGAATTTTAGGTAAGGCTTTAAGTGCAGGTAGGTTATTTGGGAAGTCATCCCAGCAAGCAGGAGTGAGGGTAGGGAGTGGGACAGTGAGATAGGGAATCAGGAAAAGCCGATACAATTGTGTATTTCCAAGGCCACGAGGGCTCAATGCCACCAGAACTTCTGAGAAGCATTCAGAGTATCTCCCAGAATTGCCTGTGTGAGGACAGGAGACTGGGCCATTTGGCCACCAGCTCTTGTCCCCATGAGGGTGGTCTCAATGGCATGAACTCTACCACATGTCCAGGCATTGCTTGTGACACGTAGGCAGGGTCAAAGGAGGCCCCACAGTCAGAAATGGAAAGCCTCTAGGTGTGTGCTTTGGTGGAATGTTGTCAGCAGTGACTCTGAGCTTACTCAGAATTGACCAGTGTGGGGGACAGCTAAAATTAGAGTCCTCGAGCATCTGCTATGGAAAGGATTCATGCTATAATAGGAAAAGGACTGGGGTGCAATAGAAACAACACCAGGAGATAGCTAATCTAGAGATTGAGGGGAAGGGTCTTGGAAGGCTTCCTGGAGGGAGTGGTTTCTAAGCTGAGACAGGGCCAGATGAATTGGAGGCAGGTAGAGGTGAGGTAGAGGTTCAGCATAGGTTGGAGCATAGGTTTCAAGGTTAGGGGTGGCAAGAGAAGATCAGGAGGAACTTGTAAGTTAAGGAGTTTAGACTTATTATGAGAGCAATAGGGGCCCAGAAAGAGACATTTAAGCAGAAAGACATGGTAAGCTTTGTGTTTTAGAAAATTCATTCTAATGACAGCATGTAGAATAGATGCCAGGATAGAGCAAGTTGGGGAGATGGGTGAAGAGGCTGCTGAATTATCCAGGTGAAAGGCTATAACAATGTGAACCAAGTTAGTGACGGTGAGGCAGGTGAGAAGTAAAAAGACTTAACATATTTAGTTTCTAATGATGCTCTGCTCCTGGTAAAAGTGTGTGTGTGTGTGTGTGTGTGTGTGTGTGTGTGTGTGTGTGTGTGTTGATGAAGAGATTGTTGTAGGGAAAGAATTTTTAGAAAACATGATTGAAAGCTCATAAAGAGCCCTTTGGAAAATCCTCATGCAAATTGAGAAGTAAAATAGCTGTCAAAATATTTCAAGTAAATTCTCACCTTAGAGGCGAAATAGCACAGTGCACTGCTTCGTCCTGGGTCTGCATTTTCTATTGGTTTGACCTTTGTTATATCATTTAACCTCTTCAAACTTTGTTTATTTGTTCAGCTCAAGAAAACTATTCTTCTTAAGCCTTGAGATGAGGATGCCTGCCCAGCCTATTCTGACTTGATCTGAAGCTAACAGCATGTAATAAGATAGGACCACAACAGGGAAGCTAACATCCTCTCAATCAACATGAATACAATGAGAGTGTGGAGGGGAATTTTTCAGCCCCAAGAATCTTGTGTGCAGTGTGGACACTGGCCTGTCAGCTCACTCCAGGGCAGAGACAGGGACCCATCCTTCACCAGCTCCGTGTTGCAGGGAGATGGGGTTTCAGAATGGTTAGTGTGACACAGGGTCATCTCGAAGCCTCCTCCTCCAACTCTGAGACACAGTGCTCCTCTTTCACAGGCCATTGGGGGAATAAGATAAGAAAATGTTTATGAAGGCACTTGGAGAATCAGCATTCTGGGCAAGTGAAAGTTATTGATGTTATCAGTAGGTCTTATGATGTTGTTAGCTCATAGAGGCGTTTAAATGCTTTAACTCTCTTGCATATTCCAGGGAAGCAGAAAATAACTTCCAGTTTCCTGCATGCTGGTATATTACTGGTCTTAGTTTCATGAAGAGGCCAAAAGCCGTATCCTTCCCCTAATACCACCTCTTGCTGACTAGCTGCTTTCTGTTTCTCTTATTTTATCGCATAACATTGACTGGAAACATTTGACCTGCCAAGACTTGAACTTGGGCATATGGGGTTTCTCCCACAGTCCATGATAGCAGCACCAGCAAATAGAACACAGGCTGTACATTCCCTGCTTTCAGGGTAAGGAATGTTCTCCACCTCCTGGGAAAAACCAGGACCCTGACTCACAGGAGTTGAAAGGAAACTGATCTCAGAATCCTTATAAGATATGTGACTTCTTGATCATCACTGTTGGGATCTGGTTCTCTTTCTCTTAAAAGAATTCCCTGGGGCTTTAGTCCACAAATTATGACAATGATTCAGTATGGCTAACATGTATTGCACCTTTATTCTGTGCCAGGTGCTGTTTTAAGCACTTTACGAGTAAGATACTCTATAGCATATGAGTAACTATTCACTTTGTAGATTAGGAAATCGAGGCAGATGTGGTTAAATAACTAGCCTCAAGTCGGTTAGAGCTGGAATATGAACCTAGGCATGTGATCCTAAAGCCGTGTCTGAATCATGCTCTGCTTCTCCATCCTTGCAAGCAGAGACCTGTCAGCATACAGAGGTCTTCAGGATTTTCTGTCCCCAGGTCCTTGAGCGGTCAGAGGAAAAGTGCATTAGACTTCTGCTCTATTTGACGTGTTCTCCATACTGGACAGGAAGTACCCTAGATCCAAACATGTCCCATTAAGATAAATACTTGAATCCAGGGAGCCCCATGCCAATCAGAAAAACCATTAATCAAGAGATTATAGTTTTCACATGCTACATGTTTCGTGTTTTCGCTTTCCCTAGATTAAAAAGATCCAGTGGAATGAACAGCCTTTTGGGAAAAATTGGAGCCAAGAAGCAGAAGATGAGCACCCTAGAGAAGTCCAAATTGGACTGGGAGAGCTTCAAGGAGGAAGAGGGCATTGGTGAAGAACTAGCCATCCACAATCGAGGAAAAGAAGGGTAAGAAGAAAAGCTGCTATTCCTCTGAAAAACCCTAAGAACTCTGAAATAGTTTATTATGGACAGGCCACCCAATTTAAATGAAAACTGTGAGTACTTTGGTTTGTCAGTGAAGCTCTGTTCTAAGTAGGGGAGGTCCTGGCAGTGAGAATATCACTGGGGGTGACAGGAAGGGAGGGCCATGTGAGCAGCACTTCTCTTGGGGACAGCACTTCTCTTCTGATCTGAACTTGCTGAATTACAGCTCCTGTGAACTCTAAGTCACCTCGTTGATTCACATGGTCAGATGTGGCTCACTGTATCAGTCTTGGCCTGACCTGAGTTATTTGGCCTTCTGAGAAGCCAAACTAACTCAGTGCTTCAAAAGCAGCCAACAGAAGGCCTAGATGTCTCATTACCATGGGATTTATTTTTATCCATGTCATTATGATCTAGGGTGGGGCTTCGCCCTTGGCTTCAGCCTGTATGACATGCCAGCCCTGGCCATCACTTGCAACCCCTTCCTTTTCACTTTGCAATACAAAGAGGATGTCCATAAACTATGTATTTAAGAATATCAAGAAAGAAAGTGTTTAGTGAGTACTTAGGAACCACAGAAGGCTAAGGAACAAAGCTACTACGGAAGTGGGTCCATGGTTCAAGGTCAACACTCCCCACCCCTAATAGTGACAGGAAGTGCTGTGTGGCTCATCAGACAGTCCTGGATGTTCATCACCCCTCCCCTCACCAGTAAGGGCTCTCTCTGAGGCACACTGGACGTCTCTGAGGCTTAGCTCCTTCCCCAATAAAATTGGAATAATGATACCACCCTTAGTGGTTGTGAGGATCTTATGAAATACTACATGTAATATATGTATAATACATACAAGTAATATACATAAAGCCCTTTGCAGAATGCCTGTCACATAAAGTCATGCATTAAGTGGTAGGCACTTAGATTATTTACAAGCTAAACTATAATAAAGACAGATGAGGGATTTATTTGGAGGGTTATGTATTTTAAATTAGGCTTTAAGATTATTTGAGTGAACTTGGAAGCTGATTAGTATCAGTAGAAAAACATTTTTTTTACTGACTTTATGAGCTTATTTAACTACCAGACTTCTAAGTTAGTCTGTCAAAGATGGAATGTCACAGAACAGAGGTGGAAGTGCCAAAGCCACCTGGGAAGGCCCAGGTAAAGAGTAGACAGGAGTCAGTGTTATTTAGAGAAGGCTTCTGACATTTGCCCCAAACTTACCCACTCCTTGACTCAGCTGTACTCACTCACATTTGCCTAGTGATCTAAGGCAGCAAAGGAACTGCCAGTGTGTTTCTCTCAATATTGATTACTAGAGGCCCGGTGCATGAAAATTCATGCACTGTGGGGGGGTCCCTCAGCCTGGCTTGTGCCCTCTCACAGTCCAGGAGCCCTTGGGGAATGTCCGACTGACAGCTTAGGCCCGCTCCCTGTCTGCAGGAGGTGACGGGAGGTGACTGGCGGGCCAATTGGGAGACAGCGCCAGCCGGCCACAAGTGGCCAGCCCTGCCCCCCCATCGCCCCACTGCTGCCACTGCTGCTGGTGGCTTTCCTCTGCGGCAACTGGAGGGACTATCAGGACGGTGACGCCCCCCCCCCCCAATCACTGTCTCCTCCCTCTGCCCGCTGGCACCCACCTTGGCTGGCCTGGCACTGCCCACTGGCTGGCCCTGCCCCCCTCCTACTGGTCGTTCCGCTGTTCGGTCGATTTGCATATTAGGCTTTTATTATATAGGATATGGGTTGGACAATGTTCATTCTGCTTGAGCTTATAGAGGTCTTATAAAAATAAGGAGTGATGCTTTAAAGATAAGGGACAGTTAATAAAATTAAAACTGGAAGAGAACATGAGATTGAAAAAGTCATCTCCATGAGGAGGACTTTTCAGGCAATGGAAAATCGAGGAACTAGGTTAGAGAACAATTGATTGTGTGCACCTTTTAAATTCACCACATATGTATAACTTCTTGTCTGCTGTGGGCAACTCTCTCAGCTCTCATTATTTGGAAAATGTCCATGTGTTTCCTCATTCTTGAAGGAGACAGACGCACACACACATGTAAACAGATGAGATATGAGTCTCTCATATCTTTTATCTACACACACGTCATACAGAAGTCTCTATATTACGTGTGTGTAGATAAGTGCTTTGCTTTTCCCTCCTTCTCTGAGACTTTTCCCCTGGCCAGGTGATTCTGCAGGTCTGATCAAGTTTTTCCAAGGTAGATCTGATAACTTCTGTGCTTTGCCTTTGGCTATTTTTACCCTTCGCTCACTTGCTTTCCTAGCTCCTGCAGGCAGATCAAAGGGCCCAAAACCCCATCCTCTGGGTGTTTGTCCAAAGTTCAGGGAACAGACCCTTGTACAGAGCTGCTAAGTCAGAGTCATACTTATCTAGCTCTTTAAATTCACCCCTTAAGTCAGGGGTGGGGCACCTTTTTCCTGCCAAGGACCATTTGAATATTTATAACATCATTTGTTGGCCATTCAAAATTATCAACTTAAAAATTAGCCTCTTATATTTGTTCAAACATTTAATTAACTCACCCCTAATGCCTTGGCAGGGTCAGACCAAATGGTTTCCTGGGACTTATATGGCCTGCAGGCCGCACATTCCCCACCCCTGCTAGGAGCTTCCAATGCACAGCCAGGGTTGAGAATCACTTAGACCACAGCATCAGAATTCTAAAGATGAATTAACTAATGTCACCCCAATAAATTTAATAAAAATTTTAAAAATTCTAGAGATGAGAGCAAGACAATCAGCTGCTGGGTGAGCCTTTCCAGCACATGGTAACTAGAGAGCCAACTTCAAAACATGATATCAAGAAGGGCAAGAAGATTCCTATTGAGAAGTGTGCCCAGTGCCACAGTGTTGAAGGGAGGGAAGCACAAGAACCAAACCTGTAAGGTCTTTTTGGGCAGAGGCAGGTCAGGCCCCCAAATTCTCCTACACAGATGCCAACAAAACCAAAGGCATCATCTAGGAAGAGGATCCTCTGCATGAAGATGTGGAGAATCCCCAGAAGTATACCCCTGGAACAAAGTGATCTTTACTGAACAAAGAAGGGGAAAAGGGCACATACGATAACGTCTCAAAAAGCTACCTTTGAGTGATGATTGGCTTCTGCCATATTTATTATGAGATCGTGACCTTTTTATAAGCACCATATTTAAGTTGATCTCATGTATAAGAATTCAGGTCATGACCCATGATAAAATTATTCCTGTTATGCAGTTCTGGTTAAAATAAGATTGGATTGGAGTTAAAAGGTTGTTGTGCTTTTTGTGTTTTGATGTTAATTCCAGTTTAGTAAGTACTATCATGTTTTTGCCCTTGTAAAGATTTGATAGAATTTGAAGCTAGATTTGTTATTATTTCCAATTTTTTAAATAATGATTTTGCTATCTTAAAATATTCACATAAGGGAACAAGGCGCCTTGAGAAACAGCAGGCACAGAATCAGATCTGCAAAGAATTTTTAGGCAATGGAAATATCAGGTACAGATTTTTAACTTTAAAAAAATACCCTCACAGATTTGAAAAAGACAAAAGTAATTTCTAGAAAAATATAATGACCATAATTAAAAACTAAATGATTAGATTTAACAATAGATGAATCAGCTGAAAAGAGAATCCATGAACTGGAAAACAGTCAGAAGAAATTAATTCAGAATATAGTTCACAAAGACAAAAAATATGGAAGGGAAGTTAAGCACCTCGGAGGACAAAGTAGGAAAAGATGAAAGACACCTCTTTATAGACTTTTTAAAACACAAAAAATCCCAAGATAAATAAAATAAAAATTCAAACTAGACATAAAAGAGCAAAACTGCAGAAAACCAAAGACGAACAGAAAAATCTTAAGAGCAGATTTCACAGAAAAAAGACATTTCTGTGAAAGGAGGGGCATTAGACTGACACATGGCTTCTCATCTGCAACAGTACAAGCCAAAGACGCTGGAATGATCTGCTCAGAATGCAAAAATAAACAACCCCCAACTGTTGGGGTCCAGCCCCAGCAGGTCCAGGGGTCCCCAAAGGTGTGGACGGAGTCGGCGAAGAAGGAATGACACGGAGACAGCGTTCAGTTGATCAGCAGCCTAGCCAGGATCTCTAGCCAAGTTCTGGTTAGGATCTCCAGCCAGGTTCTGTGTCCATGTTCTGTTGCTAGGTTCTCCAGCCAGGTTCAGTCACCAGGTTCTAGTCAGGTTCTCTTGCCATGTTCTATCCAGGTTCTGTCTCTAGGTTCTGTTTAGGATCTCCAGCCAAGTCCTGTCTCTAGGTTCTGTGTCTAGTTTCTGTCTCCTGTTGTCTTGTTACATCTGTATTTATATCAGCTGATTCCCATCCTATCAATCTCTATTCCAAAGGTTAGGGTGTTTCTTATCTCCATTCCAGGGAGTAAAGATTATGTAGCTTAAGCATGATTGTTTGTAGTTAAAGTGATTAACTACCCGCCTGGCACTTAGTTAAGGGGTTTTATCTCCTCCCTAACTTCAGGGAAAAATTCCTACCCGGGGAGAGGTGACCTTGGTTAAAACACATAGCGCCAAGAAGGGGAGCAAACATATTAAGAACAGTATGCCATATACGCCAGGTCCCTTGAGACATATGCTGTGCAGGTGTTTCTTCCCTGCAGCGACTGTGTCAAGCAGCAAGGATGGATCGGCTTCCGGCACCCAACCTAGACTTCTGTATTACGTGTGTATAGATAAAGATATGAGATTCATATCTCATCTGTTTACGTGTGTGTGCGTCTGTTTGTCTCCTTCAAGAATGAGGAAAAATATGGACATTTTCAGAATAATGAAAGCTGAGAGAGTTGCCCCTAGCAGACAAAGAGGTGTGTGTGTGTGTGTGTGTGTGTGTGTGTGTATACACACACACACACATATAGTGAATTTAAATGAGTGCTGATTATATAAAACAATAATGTCTTGTATAGTGTTAGGTGTTTTTTTTTTTCTTTCTTTTTTT